ACACAAAGAAAAGGTAATTACTGGCAGTGTACCCAAATTCATGGTGATATGCTTAGCTCCAAATAAAGAAACTGTTTTCCTGAGCAGTTCGGCTGCATTGTTTCTGGATGTCCGCCACCCATGGTGGAAGCATTGCCTGGTGCTCATGAAACTTCATGAGAGGGGGAGCCCGAATGCAGAAGTATGTTAAAGTCCTGTACGTTAGTACCAGTTAAATACTTCAGCTGGACAACCTTAGAATAGTGTACAGCCCTGAAGATTATACAAGAGTGAATTACACTGACTGCAGCTGTCAGGAGCAGCTGAGTCAGAGCAGTATACGGCTCAGCTGTAAGGATAAACAAGGGCAAGTCACATTCAGCAATGTTTTAGGGAAGCATTGCTATACCAGCAGAGCTACTGTAAAAATACAGAATTGTAGTCACTCTGTTCAAATAAATATTTAAGACTTTGCTGAAAGGGTTAATAGCCACTAAATCTAGAGAGTTGATTTAATTGATGAAAACAATCAAGTGCTTTTCATCTTGGTGGCCCATTAACAATGGCCGTTTATTTAGCCTTTGTGCTTAAGAGTGTGGCCTACTGCGACCTGAAGAGTCTTTCATTTGTGTTGCAAAGCAGTCAAGGCCATATGATGGGGCTAAGGGTGGCATTACAACAAGGAGGTTTTGCAAGTAATTGGAACAGTGTGTGTTGGGGGTGAGAGGAAGAGCAAAGTTATTGGTTAAGAGCTTAAACCTAGCCGCTTTTCTGTAGCCCTAACATGCTGTTTGGGGGTATAAAGCAGAGTTTTGGTTTGTTACCACTTGTATGTGAATTAGGATGCTGCACCTGACTTCTCTGCATCCACAAGTGATGCACTGCCACTGCTTCTATTTATCTTAGTCCTTTTATGTGAATCACACTAGGCAGATTCCTAGCAAAGGATTGTGGTGCCCTGCATTGCTTACAGACTGACCACACAAGGCAGACAAAGAACAGAAGACAGTGAATGTTTGACACAGTTTGCAAACCGGGGAAGTAAGGCACAGGGTAATTCAGTGACTTGTCACCCTCTTGCCTACATTCTGTGGTAGATCTGGTATTGGACAAAGATCTCCCAAGACTCAAGCTAGTATCTTAACCAGGAAAAAAAATATAGATAGATAGATATATATCTATCTATAGATATATCTCTCTATATATAGATATATCCTTGTTCAAATATTACTGATTGTGTCAAAGTAATCATGATTCCAGCATAAACATATCCCTTTCAGCTTAAACCAGTGCAAAGACCCCAAGTGGTGCAGAGTAAGGCAGACTGCTTGGCTCTTGAAGTGAGTTGGATTAAGTCTATGTTGCATTTGACTTTTTCTGCCTCAGGGTAGCGCTTGTAATGTCTAAGTTAGTCTGTAAATCTTAAACGGGATTTCTCTTCCAACACTCTTTAAGAGTCAGCGGATGACCATTGATTGCATTTACCTGAGTTGCCCTAAAACCCCTCTGGCACAGCGGGACATACAGTGCTTCTCAGGCTTTTGCAGCAACAGCCCAGCTGTGCTTTCATCATGGTTTAATCAGTCCTGATCAGTTAAAAGTATAACTGTGATAAAGAAGTAACACGTATAAAGAAAATAGAATTTAGTATTGTTCCATCCATAGTCAGTGAAATATGGCCATAGACAAAATTATTGATTACCTTTTTCCTTAATATTCACAAAGCTGCAGTACCTACATTTGTAGTGGCGCAGTGGGTAGGAGGCAGCTCTTAAAGAAGAAAAGAAAAAAATCTTTTTGCTACTCTGTTGGGTATCTACTTGCCTTCAGAACAAAATTCAGTGTTTACTTTCCTTCTTAATCCTATACTTTGTGTAGTGTGTAAATGAGGGAAGCATTTTTAACCTCGTGGGTATTTAGTTATGGTGGCAGGAGCTAGTACTGCCAGACAGCAAAAGCAGTTTCAATTTAAAAGTGTTTGTTTGCCCTTGCTATGAGCACAGAATAAGCAATTAAAACCAAACATTTCCATCAGTATGAGAAGTTAAGAAATTAGTCATTTGGCTTAAAGTTTCTTCTGCAATGCCATCCTGTCTGTATTGCACAACTTGCCTTCATATTACTAAGCTGGCTGAATCATCAACATATTAAAAAGATAAAAGCAGAGACTGCCCTGAGTGATGCTAAATTAAGATTTTTTTTGCCTAAGAATTCTTCACTGATCCATTCTTTATACACTAAACGCCTTCACTGTCATTTTTAAAAAAATCTATATAAAACAGGCTCATATAAATGATTCCAATAAAATAATTATATTTTATAACCTGATTTTAATAAAAACTGAGCACCATTTGAAAATTCTCATTAATTGTCAGTGGGATCAATGTACTGTAAAAGTTGGTAGTATTAAGCTGCAGGCTTATTTTTCAAATTTAATGATAAATATTAAACTATTCATCTTGAACTTCTGCAATATCAGCTTTGTTAAATAAATTGCAGCAGATATTCTAGTAGAAGTAGATATTTAATTAGAAAATATTTTAGTTGAAAATGGAACCAGATTGGTTTCAACCTTACATTAACAGTGCCACACATCTGGGGATGAGCTTAAGCTTCTAGAGTGAAAGACCTCATTTAGGAAAGTTGTAAGTCTCTGCAAGGAGAGACTGGGAAGGTACTTGGAGATCAGCTCTAGCTGTTACAGTTGTAATCAAATACTCTCTTAGCCAGATTTCTGCTTTCATCACTCTCAGGAGCCCTTGTGGCAGAATGCACTGCTGCTCCTCTTGCTGGCAGCCATTCTCAGTAACTTGACACAGCTGAGCTGGAGACTGTTGCAGTTGTAAGTGCTAGAATGATACAGGCTGCATTTCCCTTCTCCTCATTTCCTAGAGAATTTTCTTCTGGAAAATGCTTCTCTCCCCATTCATGATTGCACGACATACTTGTGACAATCACAGTAGCTGTTTATATGAAGATGGATTATAGGAAAATACTCTTCTGTTTCTAGCTGTCTTCAGCAGAATATGTGTTTCCTTTCAGATCTCATCCTTTCCTTCTCCTCAGAAAAATCCCCACAAAATCCATTCATCAGCAACCAGTCTTCTTGCTTGTTCTGTTTTTTCTCAGAAGGAAACTAAGTGTACTAGCACCCGTAACCTGTCAGCTTAAGAGAGGCCAGCACTACATTCTTTGTAGTTCAACCAAGAACTTTAGACCACAGTTTGGCAGTTCTTAAAGCAGCCTACAACAGTTATCACCATGTGTCTGGTCTGTAGCAACACATTTCCCTGTGAAGCTCTGAAACTTCATTTCTACTATCTTTTGACCATGTGCTACCCTGCAGCCATATTACCTTGAATTCTTCAGATACAACTGCAGCCTGGATGCTTTTTCCACTGTGTAAATGTCAGTGCAGTCAACAGAAGGCAGCTGATTTTGTCCATCGCCCTTTCAGCTTTTCCAGACACGCATTCTTAACCCCCTCAAATACCTCATATTTCTGTTCTGCTCAACTTTTCTCTAACTTTAATCTTTGTCCCTCCAACAGAAAGTTACCATCGTGGACACAAAAGTATTTCCAACTCATATGCTTTTTGTGTTTGTCCTTCTTTTCATAGTGAGTCTAGCTGTGTGTTAACAAAAAAACACCCCAAACCCCAACCGATCCAAACAAACCCCCTCAAGCCTAGCTAAAACTCAAAAGCTCCCATGCCTCTTTCTTGGAGAAAAAGGCAACTCTGAAAGATGCAACTAGTCTTTTATTTATCTGTGTGGACCATAAAGTGTGTACAAATGGCTTCCCTTCAAAAAACCTGTGAAGTGATCTGGATGGCTCGCAGGAGAGCTGCACGGGCATTTGCATAATTGTCCTCTGCTCAACTGGAATTTGGCCGAATATCTGCAGTTACCTCTCATTGCTTTGCCTGCACCAGGGGTTCATGACTGCACAAAGGCTGCCTTTGCTATTGCACTGGGATGCTTGTAAATCCGTAAGGGTTTTTAATCTTTTTTCCTACTGTTATCACATTTAGCCTGGCTGATGCCAGTACACTCAGGAGTTTGGGTGGACCTCACATATATGTTTTATTAATAAAACAGTGCTGCGAGACAAAAATGGTTGTGATTCGTGTGACAAAGAAGGAGCATCTGCTTAATAGTCTTGAGAATCAGTTTTTCTTTGGGTCAAAAAGAGACACATTTGTCAGAAGTAAATCCACTGGCCAAAGTGGGTGTTTGTTGGTTTTTTTAACAAATAACAGTGGGTTATAGCGTGCTGCTGGTCCCCACTTTTAATGTTTGGGAAATTATCTTTCAGAGGGAAAAGACTCAAGTGAAAAAATAAAAGTAACTGCTGTCAACTAGAACAGAAACGTTTCCTGATTGAGAATTAAGTGTACTCGGCACCGCTGGCGAAAGTACAAATTGAAGGATGCACGATGGGCCAGACAGAGAATTTGGTCTGGTTTTGCGGTTGCTGTTCTGTAAACTCACTTTAGCGCTGCAGTCCCTTCTGCTCCCAGCACATAAATGGACCTTCTACCGCCAGGCAGAACCGAAGCCAAATGTAGCTGTTCGCAAATTGTATCCAGTTCTCCCCTAAAGCCTGCGCCCACCACCACTGCTCGGCAACGAGATGCACAAAGAGCAGAGGCGGTAACAAAGCGCAACCCGGTTAATTAGGTCAGAGCCGAGCCCTGTGCGGATGAGACCGCTGCAGCCCTCCTCCTGCTGCGGAACGTATAGCCCCGCACCGCTCCCGGAAGGACACGGCAGGCTTCCCGGCGCTGAAGCGGCCCCTTGGCCCGCGGGGCTCCGCTCGCTGCCCGCTTCAGCGAGGCTCCCCCTGCCCGTGGGGTTTGCCCTGCCGCCGGGCCCGGGCCGGGGCTCGCAACGCGGGCGCTGAGCGGGGCCAAGCGCCGCCCCTCTCTCCCTCCTTCTCTGCCTCCCTCCTCCCTCCTTCCCTACGCCAGCCCTGCCCCGCCGCCTGGCACCGCAGCCGCGCCGGCCCCGAGCGCTACCCGCGCCGCCGCTGCTGCTGCTGCTGCTGCTCGGCTCCGGCCGGGCGGGGACTTGGCAGGAACTCCCGGGGAGACAGCGAGAGTGCCTGCCCCCGCTCCGCTGTGGCTTTTGGGCGGAGGAGGAGGAGGAAGGTCTGCGCTCGGCCGAGGAGCAGCAGCCGCCGCCGCCGGAGAGGAAGAGACAGGAGGGAGAGAGAAACGGAGAGGCGGCCGGAGCCCCCCAAAGTGCCCCCCCATCCCTGCACTGCAGGCTACATTTCCAGCTTCATGGGCAAAGTGTGGAAACAGCAGATGTACCCCCAGTACACCACCTACTACTACCCCCAGTATCTGCAGGCGAAGGTAGGGTACGGCACGCCGGGCGGCGCGGCGCGGCGGGTGCGAGGCTGGCCCCGCTCCAGGGTGGCTGGCCGGGGCCGAGCCCGGAGGGGAGCTCCTCGGCGCGGGGCACGGCCACGGGAAGGCCGTCAGGTTGCACCGGGGGACGGAGACAGGAAAGGGCCGGCAGCCCCTTCCTGCCGCCCGCCGCCGCCCTGGGAGAGCCGCCGGGCGCCCGCGGGCCGCTTTGCTCCCCCGCCGGGCTCCCACCCGTTCCCTTGCCTCGACTGTGCCGTCTCCGACCCGTCTCCTTCCCTCTCGCCTCCCCCCTCCCGCCGGCGGGCCCTCCTCCTCCTCCTCCTCCCGAGGGCTCGCAGCGTGTCTCCTTCCCCACCACGTCCCCGGCCACCCCACCGCAAAGCGCAGCTCGGCAAGCCCGCGGCCCCCCTCCTGCCGCCCTCCCCGGGCGCAGCGCAGCGGCCCGAACTGGGGTGGCGCGTCCAGGCCGAGAGCCGTGGCGGGGTAGCGCTGACAAGCCGGGGTGGCAGGGCGGGCTGACTGCTGGGGACGGGTGGCCGTGATTTTGCTTAAATACGGACGCTGAGGAGGCTCCCGGATTCGGATGGACACGCATTGTCTGTGGAGTTTGAGCTTTGTGAGCCGCCACCTCGCAGTTTGCAAACTGGATTAAGGGTCCAGCGCCTGATGGCTAATGTTGTACAAGGGTGGCTGGCGTTTGCAGGCAAATTGATGTTCGCAGTGCTTGTGGTGGTGGGGTCCCCACCTTTTCTTCTCTCCTTTCTCCTTCTGTGAGGCCAGCCAGCCCCACCGCTCAAGCAGCATCATGCTGCAAACTGGCAGATGCAGAGGTGGTTGCATCAGCTGTCTGGAACATTTAGCATAAGCCTCTCCAACCACCAGTGTCACTCCTCACAAATCAAAACAGACCCATATGAGGCTTCAATGTGTGAACTTTTTTTGGAGGTTATAACCGTGGTGTGTGTGTATGGGGGGTTTGATAGCTTGTCTTCTTTTCTTTTTCCTCTTTTTTTTTTTTGCTATTGAAGTCTCCCGCCTCTGTGACAATGACAGGACAAGATTTCCCTTCTCTTTATCTGCACCCTCATTAGGCTCTTCGTCTTACTGTGTTCTGTGTTGCTATATTGTGAAATGTCATTTATACTGCTTGCCTGAAAACTAAATTCAGTTTGACGTTTTAGAAGTCAGCAACGAGGAGGCTTTGAAATGTGCTTCCCTGTAGACAGAAATGGATAGAAATATGATGAAGGTCTTTAGGTGATTTGAAATGACAAATCTCTTAAATGTGTAATTAACATCAGGCTAAACAGCACAATCTGTAGCCATCTAAAGATTATGCGGCAGAGTAATCACTTCAGTACTGTTTAGGTGTATATTTTAAATGCATTATTTTTAAGAAAGGTAAAGTGCCTGAAGGACAGCCTTTTGCATCATGTAGCTGTATAACTATATAAATATTCTCAAATGAAAAAATGTCTTTGTTTAAAAGCTTGTACCTTCATGGTTTTGTGTGGCATTAGTAAGTTACAAACCAACTGCATAGCATTGAATATATATCAAGCAATGTCACTTGGCTTTTTTGACATGTAAATAATTGAAGAGGGAGATGAACTGTAATAGCTTACTGTAGTTATTAAAGTATGATCCTAGAAATCTATGATCCTATGAGAAAGCTTGATGGACCATCCTTTGAAAATGTTTCCTGTACAGATAATTTAATATTGATTTGTATTACAGTCAGTGACATCTTCAAAACATCTTGCAGTATTTGCTATAAAATTATATAGCCAGAAATTACATTACTGTGTTTCAGCAGAGCACACACAGCCATTTGACTTACACACATGAAATCGAATATCTGGGATCCAGTGAAAGCTCCCTGTTTTCAGAGAGCTTGATTTTAAAAGAGAAATAAAAGAAAAAAAAAGGTGGCTCGTTGGTATAGATAAAAGGAACAGTGAGTTGCAATATTCAGGTATGCAGAATTCAGTGAAACAAGCTATCTTCTCACTGTTGATCCTCTTGGAACATACAGAAAAATTAATTTGATTCATAGTTTTCAGCTGTTTTGTCTTTTGGGCCCTAAAAGAACCTGTTCTGCAGTATATGAGCTATTTCAGTAATTCTGGAGAAATCTTTGGTTTTTGTTAAAGACAAATGATATTAGAATTGAGTAGCTCAATGTCTGGTGGGTAATGGTTACACTGGGAGACGTTTTTAAAACTAGATTTTGAAACTGGAAGTTTTGCATCCCATCTTATCCTTATTTAAATAATGATGGAAAATCTGCTGACTAATAAACTGCAAATTGATAATTAGGAGGTGACAGGCACTGCCTGAAGATGGATTTTTCTGTAGAGAGCTCAAAAATCCTCATTAGAAATTGCATGCATTCCTAATGGTTCTTTGGGTTAAAATGTTGATGTGGTCAACTATTTTAATTGCTGCAAAATATGGTATAGATTTTAAAAACAGATTTTTGCATTTGCTTGTTATGATCTTCACAATCTTATTTGTGAAGTATTCAAGCTGGTTCAGTCATACATTCTGGGAGGAAACATAAACATTTGCTGTGATTCAGCACCTCCGTCCCCCTAATCTTAGGGAGCTCAGCATCAAAAGAGATTAGTGAAAACATGGACTGAAATGAAATGAATAAAATAAACACTGGAAGAAGGTGTAAGGCTTTTAATATGAAAGATCATTATAGCAATGAAAATAGTTTCAAATTGAAGCTTGTAAAACCTGCATTTTTGGGACTGCCACAGTTTTTTCTCCAGCAAATGATATGCTTGACATATCTGTTAAATTTTGTATTTTCTAATGAATGTATGTTTTGGGACAGTGCCTATATTGCAGCATTGTATGGCATGTCAGAGAGCATCAAAATATTTTTCCAGTTCAATGGATGTTTCTGAAGGTTTAGATACTTTCTTTAATAATATTTCCGTAACATTTCAACTTGGTGTATGTAGTTTCCTTCCTTAACAGTTTATTTGTAATGAAGTGATTCTGTATTTCAACATTTTAGCAGACAATGTTAGTTAAGATTGTATGTGTTTTAGTAATGCTTTAAGGCCCCTCTGACCAGGAGTAAGATCTGACTGTGCTAGGCAAAGTAGTGTAACATTTAACAAGGCAGGGTACTCATAAGCAAATATAAATGCATATGTGCATCTCTAGTCCACAGTCTGTTTGCTTTGGTCAAGGAAGAAATAGAATTGATGTTTTGGTCTCCTTTACTAAAATATCGAATGGAATTCAGTGACATCATGCAGACAATGATTTACAAATAAATCGTGATGCTAGCTGTATTGCTGTTTTTTGCCTTGGACAACAAGGAGATATGCAACAATATGATTAATTTTATTGGTAGGCTTTTATTTTGTAAAGGAAAGTTCTTTGTATAGGAGAGATGTAGTAGAGTGGGCTTCCAGCTGTATAATTCGGTAGCTGCAAAATTAGTGTCCTGGCAGCTGTGAAAAGCACTTATATTTCTAGAAGTTTGTGTAGGTTTGTAGGCAGGACTGTAGACTGGTGTAAGCTTGCAGTGAGCAGGCAGGTCCTGCGTGTCACAAACTTCTTTCGGGCTGTTGACAGCAAACTTTAAAATGTGAATGTTTAATTTTTATCCATGCCTATTGATGGCAGCGGAAGTGGGAAATCAGTTAGCAGGGTACTTACTGGAGGGTGAAACAAAGCAGATACGGAACTTTTCATATTAAGAGACACAGTTTAGTGTCAGTGTTTGAAGTTCACAGACTGAATGAAGAACCTTCTGGTGTAGATGCTTCTAATGCAGAAGTGGTAAGACCCTCTAATGGTTTCCTGCTAATGAAAACCTTTACTCACTGAATTCTGTGCCAAGCACAGGTCTGCTACCCTTTAAAAAGTGATCCTAGCTTACAACCTGATTTTAATCAGCATAAACAATTGCTAATTCTAATCAGTTTAGTTAGATTTATTCTGCATGCACTGTGACTGCGAAATCTGTACATAGTAAAATACAAGTTTACAGTAACACAAAGTGTACGTGTTTATGAGGTTGGATAGAAATATCTTATCATGGGAAGTGGTACTGTCCATAATTGTGATCCTGCTGGTTCTTGACTAGGCTAGAAATCCATCAGTTACCTGATCTTGAGATCCTGTTAGCCCCCTCAGCCTCTTGACTGTATTCCCTTCCTTTCTGGCCAGGCTGGGATTTTATTATGCAACTTCCAAAGAATTCCTTCAAAAAGTGTACCAGATTGTGGAAGTGTAAAAGGAAGACGTGTAAAAGTTACCAGTTTCAAGAAAAGATTTGAGGGTGTTGGTGGTGAGGTGATCCCGCTGGCTCTAGAAAACAATCTCAGTGGATATAAAATATGGAGAAGTGGAAAGTGTTCCCTAGGAAGAGTATTTTCTCTTCTTCCAACCATCCCAGTCCAAAACTGGGAGTGCCTGTGTCATCTTCAGAGAGGCCAGTGACATTTTGTCCCTGGTCACAAGGATCATTTTATGTAGAGGTTCCAGCTAGCTTATTTTGTGTGGGCATCTCTGTCCTTATCCCAGTTATAGCTCCTTTTAACTTTTGAAGCTTAGTTGAGGTAGCTTGGTATGAACTAGAAATATGTCCTTCAGGAAGTATTTCTAGAAACTATTGCTAGAATCATTCTTGTATATGCAAAACTTGAAGCCTTTCTAGAAATGGATCAAGCGAAACTCATCATCCTTGCCTTGAATTACTCCAGTTTTGAATTATTCTGTATCAGGGTCTCTCTTCAGAAGTAATGTCAGATTAGCTCCATAGGCAAATACGCATTAGAAGCAGAGTGTAATCAGATATGTTGTTAATAGTAGTGACTTCAGGAAGGTTTTATCCTAGATATTCCACACTGGGACCACTGCATTGTCAGGTAGTGTCAAGAAGGACGTATGTTAATGTGTCATATATGTTAATGTATGTCATTGTAACTATCTGAATAACTCTGATCAAGATACAG